ATAGAAAAGAATTACTTGATTCATTGGGTGAAGATATTATTCATAATCCAAGTGCAGCAGCAACAGCAGCTGCAACTATTTAAATCTTTTTGTTTTTCTGATCGTTGTATGTCTATTAGGCAAAATAATCTATTTTCTTTTTTGCTAAATAAACACACAGCGCAGTTATTAAATATATATATATATAATTTTGCTGTAAGAAGTATCTAAGAACAATGAACTTTTCTCAAGCTAATTTTTATATGTTACATGTATATTAAACTAATCTAGAGATCTTTGTTCGAAGGATTTATCAGTAAAAAAAACTAGCGTTATTGTCATGACATAAAAAAAGACATTGATGCTCACGTCAAGTATTTCAGTCTAAAAAAAACTCTGAATTGAAGCAGGATTTCTGATAAATAAATATTAAATTCTATAGACAACTTCTGAAGCTACAATATCTCTATCCGAATTTGTTTCTACAGGTGTCTAGGTTTTTCAAAAAAAAATCGATTTTCTTTTCGTTACAGACATGATCAAGCGGAAACAAACTGATTTCAATAGCAGAAACCAATACAAATCATTACTGTTGTATTTATATCAACTGCTCAGAGTTTTAGAGATTCAATAAAACAAAACAAAGATTATCAACTTTTATTATGACTTCTGTGAACTTTATTACCAAAACAGTAGTGAATTTACGCTAAGTTCTGAGATTTTTATTATTCATGATCAAATTATAGTCTTTATGCACTGACATTCATTATTCTATCGAATAGTTCATTAACTAGTTGATGTAAATAGGATGTGAATGTACGAATAGTGTGGGTCTTTTGTTCTTGCGCACTTGCATTCACACTCACCAACTCACATCCACATCCCGCACTTACACTCTTGGGCACTAATTAAATAGGAGTAGATCGATATTGAGCGAAGAGTGGATCGTTTCCGACAAGCTTCTGTTGTATCTGAGCATCGAAGTTGTCGATCTAGATTGCTTTATCATGACTTTGTTCAGTGAATTTGATATACTCTCATAATGCTTCTGTGTTAACGCTAATTGCACTAGATCAGAAAAGCATTTTATAATGATGTGACGAAAAACGAATGTTTTGATTACTATTAGAAATTACTCAAAATCATTTGAAGTCCCTGACAACCAGCTGAAGTCATACGAAATTAGATGAAGTAGCCGAAATTATGTGAAATCATGGGATCAGTTTGTTATCCTTGGATGATTCGGAGGTAGAGCTTTTTCAAGTGTTTTGTGTGCTTTTTCGAAAAACCAAAGTGCTTTTAAGAAATCGCCCATGATATTATACACTTGACCCATATTGTTGTAGCAAGTAGCCAAATCAGAATAACTCGGAGGCATAGCTTTTTTAGCTATTTTACGTGCTTGTTTGAAAAACTGAAGTGCTTTTGAATAGTCACCCATGGCGTTAAAAGGTGATAATTTATCGAGAACTATTGGTCATATTGCAGATAAAAATGATCGAACGAAATTTGCAATCGAAAATGCAACACGATGTTGAATTGTACTTGCTGATGAGTATGTTTATTAAAATAGAATAATGATTATTGATATAATTCTATTCTTATTTAATAAAATTCATATTCTAGATTCATATCAAAATATTCAAAATGTACGAACAACAATTTTCAATCTGATCTTAGGCTCACCGACGCTAAAAGTCTATGGAAAATTGCGAACTGTAGCAGTAAGAACAGCTGAAAGTTTTTGAAAAGAAATTCATTTCTGTTGTTGTTTGTTATTTGCTACTGTTATGCATATTAAAAAAAAAAAAACTTGGACAACGATATACGGAAAAATAGATCTTTCGACTTGAAAAAGTTATAAATAATTCAGATCTTTCTCCGGACAAGGTTTCGAAACTTTTTAAGCATCAAACTATCGTTAGTTGGTTGTCGATATATCGATGTCGCTGATAAAAGATATTTTGACAGTATATCAAAGAATTAATTGTATACGATCTAGCGAAGAGTGGTCAAATATTATTGTATAGATCTTCTCAGATATGCTCAATATTTTTGAACAAAAGAAGTCTATCAGAGATGACAACAAAGAAAAATCTTTTTTTTTGTCACTTTTTCAAAATATATTCATATACGAAATATTAATGTGAAATAAGATAGTATCTATTGTCAGTATCATAGAATTATTCAACATTCGAACAAAATGAATACTAGATGAAAATCATGATATTTGGAAATATATTCCAAATAAAAATACTTCCATTGTATATAACAATAAAAAAAAAAAAAATTGTCTTACAAGCGTATTACTATGTCAAAGAATTGATTGAACGAAAAGCATGACCTGACTGATAAATGATTGTCACATCTCAAAACGAAGTTTACTAAATTTAATAACAATGTCGAAGAAACAATGGTGGTGTAATTATAGTAAACTATCACCATCAAGAAAAGCATATTTCCGAGATGATAAACGATTCTTTTTTTTCGTTTTGATTTTATTAACTTAATCTCTTAGTTTATTATCTTCATGGCCCTGATAGAATGATCAATCATTATGATTTTATTTATCTCTTCAGCTACCAAAACAAGAGTTCTATCTTAAATTATTTTAGAAGACTTATTTTAAATGTAAACTTTTTCGTGAAAAGATTAATTTTCTTGTAAATGAAATTATTTATTTTTGCGAACGAAAATTCGATGCGTTTTGTTTCTACAATTTTAAATTAAACATTGAATACTAAATATCGAATATAGAAATGATAGTTCTAGTTTTCAAAAGTTAAATAAAGTTTAATCTATATTTGTTGGAAGGCGACGAAAGAGAAAAAATAATCTTAATTAATAAAACTAACACATTGTCTCAATCAATCTTATTGACTAACTTTATGAAAAAATGCACTGAATAGGAATTAAGATGGAATTTGTATGAAATAAGACTTTCCTTTAAATGCTAGAATAATAAGACATAATAAAAAGGTTCTTTATAAATTTTGAGAAATTCTCTGTATTGTTCGATTTTTAGATTTCCTAGGTGGTATTGTATATTCTAATCAAATATTCTAATTCTTATTTGCTTCTGTGTATCGTTGTGTTACTTTCTATAGTATTTAATCAATTTGTAATCTATATGATTTATCTTTACTCATGGCTCTGGCATGCTTTCTTGCTCCTATTTGATATTTTTGATGTTGATATGAAGAGTAGATGTGATTTAAACGAGAACGATAACAATCTTCGGTATTTGATTTGTATCTGATCTTCAGAAGCTTTGTTGCGATCTTTTCTACCTGATGGATTTTGTCTGATAATATTCATATGTTCAACATTATGTTTTCAGTTCTGCTCCATTCGATGATTGACTATCTCATTCTTCTTTGCTATAAAAATAGATATTGTCAATTGATTAAATAAAAAGTTTAATATATACAGATATATTTGCCAAAAGAATTTCTTTAAACTTGTCAAAATATGGACAAGATTTTCAATATAATTTGATACATGAAGTATTATTTTAATTTGTCAGAAATGTTTATTATAAATAATAGTTTAATCTAGTTTTCTGCTCGAATAATATAGATTTGTTATTATCTTCAATGATTACTGAAATTTCTCGAAAGAAAACTTTCTTTGTCATTTCATACGAATTTTTATTTATATAGTAAAATATTTTAACAGATGCAATCCAGATCAATAATTATTTTCACGAGAAAATTTAATCATTTATCATCCATATCTATTGTTCACTTTCTAATTAATGTTGAGAGTGAATGTAAATTTGGGTGTGTATTTTCTCATCATCATCAAAACATCTACCCCACATTCTCTCATTTATTATATTTCATTCATAGTGACACTGATTATTGCCTTAGAGAAAGTCTTGCACATTCTAAAGAGGAACCAGCCAATGCGAGTGATTCGTGGGAACTCAAGATATTACGAGCTAAAGAACATATCTACTTGAATTATTTCAAGTTATTCTTCGCTTGTCAATACAATCATAAAACCAGTCCTCTTCAAACTGATATTAAAAAATTCAATTAAACCAGATAATTTAAACAACAGATTTCTATGTAAATATTCATTCCTTGATAATTGACTACAGATAAGATAAATTCTGATAGATTAATAATAATAGGATGTGGGATGTGAAGACAAAACTCAAAATTCACATTCATACCCTTCATTGCTGCCTTTCTTCTAATTCTACCAATCTAGACTTTTTAACTAGTGTTAATGATGATGAGCAATACCTCACATAGCTTAACTAAAAAGGAGGAGGACGAAGAACTATTAAATAAGTAAAATTCTATTGTCACTGCTTTATCATCAGATATGACTCAACCGAAATTGCCAAATATTTCATTTATTCACTCACAAAAAAGAAAACCTTTGCTCATAGTCTATGAACATGTTTTCAAATTGAATTCAATCACAGCTACTACTAAATATTGGTAATATACATTTGATGAATGTTTAGCAAGAATTCATATATATTTGAATGGTCAAAATATGTGTATTCAATTTAATGTAGGTTTAGGTGTAAGAACAAAACAAACCAAAACAATTCCAATTCAACGTTGTATTAGCGATTTTGATAAACGATATTATTATGATGCTATAAATGCTATTGAATATCTAGATAGTTTATCATTTACAGTTCCTCAACGAAAAAATGAAAGTTTATGAATTCTTTTTTTCTTTTTAATTTTTGACTTATGTTTGATCTCTGTTAGAATGTTAGTATTAACCCATACAATAAAGAATGTCCTTCGCTAGTCAGAATCTTTAAAATACTTTTCGACTAGTTTTTCGCGTCGATATTCTCTTTTTCGACGTTTTTCCTGTTCGATATATTTCTCTTCTCTTTTTCGACATTTTTTTCTCTTTGATTTTTTTTCTCTTTCGACATTTTTCTTCTTCGATATTTTTACGGTCAACCATTGTATGAGCATCGGCGGCCGTGCGAACACATTCAATGTCGATATGTATAGACACACATACATAGATCAGATGAAGTCATGTTGATCGAAGAATGGCCCGTTGAATTATGGCTCGAACTGTTTGTTTATATGTCAACATTTGATCTGGTCATCAGTTGGTTTAATCTAAACATTCGTTTGAATCGTATGATCGAACGTGCACTTTTACTAGGTCTTCATCAGTTCGATCTTGATGAAAGCTGGACACATGAAACCTTTATGAATTGTGTTGAACATGTGTATCCACGTTTAGCTCCTTATGTAAGCAAGATCATCTTGCGTGATACATTCGCCACTGCACGTCTAGTAGCAAAATCTAGTTATTTTCTTCCTCTTTGCCTCAATGTACGTCGATTAATACTCTGTGAAAATGTTATTTCATTTTTTCCATTCAGTCACCATATAAATATATTCAAAGAGTCATCATTATTACACGAACTGATCATCGAATTTGGCCTTCATGGAAGTAATTACTATTCGAATACACTTGAAAAAATGCTCAAAAACAATATTTCATTCCATACTATGCGATTCAATGTTATTGACAGTAAGACAAATTTAAATTCTATATGATATGTTTTCATATTTTCATATAGATGCTTCTCCCTATCTCGGCACAAATTTGAACATTTTACATTTTCATCTCGGAGATGATCATGGAATATGTCTTGCTAATACTGTATGTTTGACATTATTAGTGCAACGATGGTCAAATTTAATTATGCTTATACAAGATGGTTGTTTACCCTTACTTGAAGAACTCGATGTTACAATCGAGCAACGACCTTCATATAATGAACAAGAAAACGATGATGATCGACTTCATTCAGTTAATCTTTTCAAATTACGATCACTTCGTTTATGTGATGTTACATTAAATAATGTACGTGATCTTCTTCGTTATGTACCGTCATTATCTTTCAAACTCGATACACTTTCATTGGTTCGTGTACGAGTAGATGATAATGATAACATCACTAGTCTTCATCATCTTGTTGACTTTAAAAATTTACTAATCAATCGTTTATCTGCTCAATTATGTCGTTTGCAGCTTATTCTCTACATTATATCCGATGATACTTATTGCAAACATGCACTTGATGTATTTAACGTTGTTGATGACATTTGGCCCTGGCCTCTTATGCATCATCAAACAGAAGAGTACATTGATAACCAAAATTCTAAACCAATTGACGTCTTGTACATGAGGTATCCCATCTCATGGTACTCTTGTCAACGACGACGACTTAACGACCAAACGAGTGTACGTCATCTTCGTTGGCCTTTTCAAGGTGTACCACCAAGACGTATCTGTTGGACTTTAGAAAATGAAGATGAAATAAGCAGTACCAAAGCTACTACAAATGATATATATACATGTTTGAATACTCTCGTTAATGTCAATTCACTTAGTTGGTTCATTAGTTTAAATCCTGTAAGTTTATTAGGAGAAAGAACAAATCATTTCAGAATTAATCAATTCTATGTCATGTTTGTGTACAAATATTTAGAAATGTGATTTTTCACAAGTTCAAAATTGTCAGTTAACTTCAAAAGATAGAATCTCCAGCAGAGTCTTAGAGAAAAAAAACATCTTAGATTTTTAACTTTGCACAAAATTACTGGAAATATGAACGAAAAAGGATAGGTGTGTTTCGAATGTTCACTAGTCTGCTATTTATCAATAATAGTTTAGATTATCATGCGATTAGAGATGTATAAAGTCATCATTTGTCAATTCGGGTTCTAGTTATTTCTTGAAAGATGAACATGTTTGAAAAAAACATCGTAGAAAGTTCATTTCTTCGAAATTTATAAGACAATTGTCCGAATGGAAACAAGAAAAATCAAGTTTTTTTTGTCAAGTGGAGAATTGAATTTTTTTCGAAAAAGATCATATCATAGGAATAGATTATTTGAAACTGGTTCTGGTCCTAATCTTATATGTCTCTACATGCGATATCTTTCACCACTACTTGATTATAACGATTCAATTATCCAAGAAATTTTCAAATTATAGTTGGAACATAAGTATAGTTTCTTTGGCTTTTCATTGTATTGTTGATGATTTTACTGTTTCAAACTATTGATATATAAATATATCTTAATAGGGTTCAATCTTGGCTCATCTTCAACAAAAGCCAAGCATCTTTCCTCGATGGCATAATATGCATGATGTCACTCTCCAATTCACCAATCAATATCTATTGCCTTCTCATCGTGTTGGAATTCTTGATAATATCTTGCAAAGTGCTTGTTATCTCACAAGTTTGACTGCTCATTGGTCGGATGTGCTTAATGTAGCCAAGAATAATATTAGAAAGGGATATTATTAAGCGGTCAGTAAAATATATGAAATGATCAGTAAGATAAATGGTCAGTAAAAAATGTATAAATGATCAGTAAAAAGATTAAATGGTCAGTACTTAGATTATCACTCATATAAAAAAAAGATTGGAAAAAATCTGATTTTAATCGATTTTTTTGTGATTAAAAATCGATTAAAATGGGACAGTTTTAACCAGGTTTTTAATCAAACTAGTGATTAAAATAAATTAAATTTATAAATATCCATTTTAACCGATTAAAATTTTTTCATTGACTATTTTACTCAATTTTAGTCAGATTATTCGATTTTTAATCTATTAAAATCGATTAAAATTTTTAAATCGATTTTAATCAATTCTAATAGTTTTTCTTTTTAAATGAATAAGTACCAATTGATATCGAGTCTTGAAGCATGGAATTTATGTCAAAGGTCCATCTAGCATCATATCTACTAATTTTCCGAGGCAAGGAGTCCGAAAAAGCGATCGAACATCTGAGTTTTCAACATAAAGTTTGAGAAAACGCATTTTACCGTCGCCACCATTAAAATTCATATTTATATATTTAATTTATTTTAATCACTGGTTTGATTTAAAAAATCGATTAAAATTAGATTTTTTCCAATCTTTTTTTTATATGAGTGATAGTCTAAGTACTGGCCATTCAATCTTTTTACTGATCATTTATATACTTTTTACTGACCATTTATCTTACTGACCATTTCATCTATTTTACTGATCATTTAATTTATTTTACTGACCGCTTAAATAGTAGCCTATTAGAAAATATCCTACTGTCAAACGTCTTCACTTATTGTTATCATTCGGACGAGATTGGCATGATGATGTTGATGTCGATGTAATGGTGCTACTAGATCCTTCGGTGATTGCTCATCTATTTCCTTGTCTACATCAGCTAAGCACATCTGGTAGTTTACCTCGTGGTCGTATTCGTTTGACATCATTGGATCCTCTTGTTTCACTCGTACTTTCTTTAATTGCACATCTTTCACCTCATTTAACATTTCTGTATCTTAACAAATGTGAAACATCATTGTCAAGACTTGTTGCTTTGTCTAAAGATAAGCAGAAATATGTTTGTGATATTTTAAAAATGAAAATATCATCTGCTGCTCGCATTACAATCACTGATGGTGATAGATTGAAAATTTGGTTGTAAAAACAATAAAAAAATAAAAATAAAGCATGAAATGAAATACATCGCAAATATTTTTTTCTTCTAGAAATGTTGATGTTGTTTTCTGATGGAACCATTAAAAATATGCATGTACCAAACACAAATCTCAAAAAGTTTGGATTTTAAACTTCATTTTAGATTTTGAGGCACCTATGTTTCGAATGGAGTATATTGAGCTGCATTATTAGTTTGGTATGTCGTTCCGACACTCAATCATCTGATTTTAGGAAGACAACGTTAATATTGATTTTCGACAGAATTATATAAAACTTGACTAAAAATAATTGACTATGAGGAACAAAAACAATTATCAGATTATTAAAAATTTTGAAGTTGCTTTTCTCGATTCTAGAGTCATAGTTTTTGGATTTTCACGAAATTTAACAAAACAAACCTTTGCTTCAAAATTTTGATACACAAACGTAACATTCTGAGACTCAATGAATCTCATCGATTAGTAACAACAGTTGTATTTCAATACATTCACAGCAGTGAAATTCGAAAGTTTTTTCAAGTACCATCGTGACAGCGGCAACTCTTTAAAAATTCATCACGGTATAGCAGCATCGCGAGAGATTTTCTTTTCTTTTGCCGCGACGCGACAGCGGAAGATTTTCAGGCGCAATGGATATCTCTGCAGCGGACCCATCTTTGGATGAAGGCTGACTCTTCTCGTACAGTTGGAACATGTGATATATTATTAAAAGATAAATTTAGTTGTTTTGGATAAATTCGAAATAAGCCCCCCAAAAAGAACTAAATTCCGCTAGTCTCTTGAATATATAGCACGAATGTCATGATATTGTTTATTTTAAGTTTTTGTATAAAGAAATAGATAATAGTGTATTTATTATTGTTTAGATGAGGAGAAATTAAAATTTTTATACTCTCTATAATATATACTTTGATGTTAATAACACAAATCCTTTTTTTTTCTTTATTCATTAAATTTCAAAGAATTTATAGCTGATTTCTTTTCATTAATAGACACATAAATATCAATCTAAAGAATATATGATCAATAATTTTTCTTTTCTTTTTCTGTCTCCTTCTATTGTAATTCCATAAAAATAACCGAATGAAATCATAAAACAAAAAACCAACAATAACAACAAGAAATATACAACATCGACATTTGAAGAACAAGTTCATGATTGTTTTTTAATCAATGAATGTGGAATAGACAGAGAATGAAACACATACAAAGAAAAAGACTCGAACAATGAAAAAGAAACATACAATTAAGTGCTATTTTATTTTTCAATTAATTAAATCAAGATGATGCTTTTGTCGATCGTTGACTTATAAGTTTTTCAACTTCTTGTAATTTTTTTTAATATTTTTTTCTTTTTGTTTTCTTTCTTTTTACCTAACTAAAAAACAAAAAAAAGTAAGATTTAAGAAAATCTAATTTTAAATGAAAATACAAACTTGAATCAGAATTTTCTGCATTATTTGTATTAGTTGATGATTTATAAGAATCAGCTAAAAAGAAAGAAATTTTTGGTTTTTTTTTTTGAATAAAGAAAATTAATCAAAAACAAAAATTTACTATTTAATTTTGTCTTTTGTTTTTGTTGTACTTGTTGAATCGGTTGATGATGATGATGTATCACGTCGTTGCTTAAGACAAAAATAAAAACAAAATTAAATATTTGAATTTTGAAATAAATTAAATTTTACTTTAGCCATTGTCAATGATGATGATTCTTTATTTTTTGATAATGTTCGAGCTGAAGAATCATTTGTGGATTTTGTATTCATACTTTTACCGCCACCACCATCACCTGATAATGAAGATAATTGTCGACTCACTGCTTTTATTGAATGACTTTTACTACTAACTGATGTTTTACCTACATTAGAATCAAAAGAAAAATAAATTAAAAACGAATTTCTTCTTAGATCATAAATATAATTGATCTATTTTTAATTAAGAAAAATATTTGTTGGAGCATTTTTCATCTCAAAAATAATAATCAAAATACAGATAAACAATAAAGCTTTATATTTACTGAAATGAAAACGGGGACAAATACACTTATCGACCCCCCCCCCTCATCTATTGACTTAATTCGACTAATTAGACCCTGGGGAGTTCATTAAAAGTATTCCCAAAGGTCCCAGACCGATAGTTTAGGAGACATGTGAAAAATTAGACTTGAGTTTAAAATTGCATAAAAGGTTTATTTTTTGAAATAAAATGTAATAAGTGTATCAAACAAACAGTTAAATAATTAAAAATCACCAGGCTCCCACTCAGGATCGGTTATGTGGGTGTGGCTGTGGGTGTGTGGATATGTTAATCTTTTCTTGAGGTACAGCCACACCTACCCCCACCCATACACCCACACTCACCCACACCCACACCCACACCCACACCCATACCCACACTCACCCACAGATGACACATACGACAAACATATATATCTTTTTTTCTTTCGTTTTATTCATTTAGATATTTTCCTTCTTATGATATTGTTTGGATATTTTTCTCCTCCGGTTGATTCGACTCTGGCGCTATCTATTTTCAAGTTTTTAAAATTAGGTTATCTCTTAAACTATTGATCTGGGACCTTTGGGAATACTTTTAATGAACTCCCCAGGGTCTAATTAGTCGAATTAAGTCAATAGATGAGGGGGGAGGGGGGGGGGGGGGTCGATAAGTGTATTTGTCCCATGAAAACGTGAATTTTATAAAGATGTCATAGTTCGTCTTACGACAATTCAAAATCAAAATTTCTTAAGATCGAAATTATAGTATCCTTAGTTTTTGCCTTTTATTTGTCTGTATGATTATATATTAAAGTCTATTTCAGAGTTAAGTTTCTATGGGGGTTTTTTTTGAATAAGTTTTAAACAAACGGAGGAAAAGAGTTGAGGTTTTTATTACTGTCTAGAATCGATATTGCTTTATGTTTTAACAAAGTCAATGAAAAAATTCAATTAGTTTTCTTATAAGATAGCCCAACTCATTTTCTATCGATCAACATAAGACCGAGATCGATAGCTGTTTTCGTTTAAAAGATATATGGATTCCATTGAAGGCTACTCATGAAAATCTGAAGTGATGAAAACTCTTTCTACAATCAGAAATTCAGTTTTTCTCATCTTCAAAACCGATCAGATATTCAAGGAAAAAATTAATTGGATTTTTTCGTTGATATTTTGTAAAAAGCTAAAGCAATGTTGACTCTAGACAATAGTGAAAACTTCAGTTCTTTCCTTCTTTATCTTTTAAAGTTATTCAAAAAATGTTCATTACCATTTAACTCTGACATGGATATTAGACATAAGCAAGAGAAAACTTTTACTAAAATATTGCGAGTTTAGATATGAATCATGAAAAATGAGATTTTAAATAATCTAAAATTTTCCAAAGTATGATTAGTTTTATTAGACAAGCACGTAGTGAAGAATAATTTAGGTGAATCATTATAAAGAAAAAATAAGTTTTGATATAAGAAAATTGTTTAGTCCTCAAGATATTTAACAAGAATCAATCATTGTCTCATTATATTTCTGTTATTAAATCTAACCTGTTTTTATTGTTGATGATGAACTTGTTTCATTCTCTGAACTTGAAGTATCCAATAATGAACTAAATGATCGATGTGTTATTCTATTTACATCACAATCTGATAACGATGATAAACTTGTATTATCCGATCGACTAAATACAACATAAAAATAAAATCAGTTTTAATATTTCTTTTTGTTTTGTTTATACCTAATATTCTCTTTTTTTTTGTTTGTTGTTTTTTATATTTATATCTAAATCTTTTCCATCGTTGATCTTTTGAATGATTATTAATCATTGAATTACTACCCATGTCGTAAATACCGGATCAATTTTCGCGGTAAACCGCGGTTATCGGCAAAACCGCCGGTTTACCGCGATAAATTGTATGTAATGGGAGCCGCTAACCGGATCGGTAAAACCGCGGTAAATTGTATGTAATGGGAGCCGCTAAGCGGACCGGTAAAACCGCGGTAAATTGTATGTAATGGGAGCCGCTAACCGGACCGGTAAAACCGCGGTAAATTGTATGTAATAGGAGCCGCTAACCGAACCGGTAAAACCGCGGTTAACCGCCGGTTTTTATCCGGTTTTCATCACATGGGTATTATTAGTACTTGTTTTTTCGATGTTCGACTTGAGATTTGTCGACCAGGAAGAAATTTATTTGTTGTTGCTGTTCTTGTTCTTGATGGTCGTATGATTTGTTTTTATTACCATTAGATTTTTTTTTGTCATTACCATTTGTAACCATTCTATTTAAAAAGAAAAATAATTTAATATTTATTCATTTTTTTTTCTTATTCAAAAGAAATCTTTTTTTTAGTACTCAGATGATTATGTTGTTAATAATGATTTTGTTGCACGTGTTATAGAAGGTGAACAATATTGTCGATCTAAAGCGTAACTCAAACATAAAATGAAATGTTAAATTATATGCAAAAATATGATTATTCATGCATAAGAAAAATAAACAATGATGATTAATAAGAAATAAAACTTGCCTTGATCGATTTGATGATGAATAAGATTGAGAACGTGAACGAGATGAACTAATAGAGAAGAACAAATTTTCATAAGAATTTTATTTAGAAAATAATATTATTTAAAAAAAAATGAATTTATAATTACATGAAAGATGAAGCTGATGATGATGAGCAGGATGGTTCACGGCCACCATCACCTAATGAACGATGATATAGGAGATAATTATCACCGTTTGGTATTTAAACAATATGATGATCTTGATCAGTAGATTGAGCAACATATTCACCAGGAGACATTCATTTTCAATGTTTTATACAGAAAGAAGAAAAAGCTCATTCGGAAAGAAAGAAGACACACATGAGGAAAAAAAGCGAAAAAATAAAACGAAATGCTTCAGTTTATTCTGATTATTATAGAAATTAATCAATCCTTTTCCAATTCAATTTTCGCCTTCATCCCTTTGGTCTTCCTGTACTGTTGGTGTATCTTAGCAACCAAGTGTATGTGTTGAATTACATAGGTCATATGTTCTACCTTGCTAGCCATCGATACACTTTCCCATCCCATTATCTTCGCCTCGTCCTTAATTTGTTGTTGTGCTGTATCAATAGCTGCGTGGTGACTTGTATCATCTTGATCGACAATACAGATTTCATATGTTGGACTGTTTGGATTTTTAATATTGATGATCAATGACTAAACAAGTCGAGGCTCGAGAACATCCTCAAGATGAACGAATTGAATCATAACAAATTTCTTGCCATCGCCGGTGAGAATAATCTCACTGGGGTTCTTATCATTGTTCCCTTCATCATCGTCGATATTTTCGCTCTGAAGATGAAAAAAGAGGCATTAGTTTATCTTATCAGAAAGCGAGTGATACAGAATAGACGATCAATATATTTTCTGGACTTTCAGAAGAACTAGTCGTTACTTTTTTATAGATAGAATTATTTTCTCCTATACTTAGCTCACCCCAATATTTGCTTGTGTATTCGAATAGATAATAGCTCCAAGAAATTCTTCAAGATGTTTATCCGTTAGATGAAATTTGACCTCGACTATTGTCCCCAAAGTTTCATTTTCGATGATTTTGATGTTTTTTCTTTCATTTTGAAGTTCTTTTATAAATGTATTCATTTGTCGATAATTTTGTTCGTTTTTTCCACCAACAATACACACTGCACGAACACGACCAATATCCACGATAAGTTCATAGGCAGCAGCTGCAACATTTTGTAAAAACTATTAAAAAAGCAATGATGAGAGTATAACAATAAATTCGTTAAAAGAGGAGAATTTACTTTTTGTACATTTACTTTTGTTGTTGTTTTTAATGTATCTGGTAGACCGAAGGCTGGCGATGCATGCAATAAAAATACACCACCATCGTAAAAAACACAAATGCCTACGCATGAGTTGATTGCATTAGTAACCAACAAAAATGGATTATGTCTATGTTTGTCCATATCAACAAAATGTTGCTCCATTGTATTCATCGGTTACTTTTCACTTCACTTTTCACACAAATGACACGTGGAATCAGTCACTTCTTAATAAGTTGATATCAACTAGAAAGAAGAGAAAGAAAGACGATTTTATTTTTCAATAATTTAGTTCAGAGCAAAAACTGGTGAATACTCGGTGATGGATTCGAACCATCGAGCGACACTGACAAATCGAGTTGTGAATCATCGTCTATAACACCTAGACCAAACCGAGTGAAATCTTCTGTCTAATGACACATTATTCACAAAGCAATTACTCTATTTCATAAGTATCTTCATGGTGGTACCATTGAACCAGTCACTGAATAGGAATTGAAAACTCCTAATATCTGACTAGAATCTATTTGCTATTGATGTTTCTAATGCATATTTCATCAGAATCCAGTTAATTCAATTTTATAAAGTGATAGCCTAGCGAAAGACGCCCATTATCCATCTATACAGATATAAATCGATAGTTGTTCCTTAGACAGACTATGGAATTTTGCTGTTTTGATTATACATTGATACGATAAATTACAGAGAACAATGCAGCTATTTAGAATTTCATTTTTTTAGTGATATTTTGGTCATTAGTGGATCATCTATCTTCAGACAAACCATCATAACAAAAAAAAAGAGAAAAAAACGAAAAATAATTAATGCGGATATAGTACCTATGGTTGTGTGTATGTGAATCATCTAAGTCAAATGTGTAGTTTCAAAGTTTTTGTTTTGTTATGATTTTTCTAAAGATGATCGAATGAAGATCAAAATATCACCAAAAAACAATGAAATTCTAAACAACTGCACTAATAGTACGACTCATCATTCAGAAACAACACTGCTCTGTAGTCTGTACAAAGGAAAAACAATTTTCGTTTTAAAGTTTTCTGATAAGAAATATTTTTCTTAACTGCATATAAATGTTCGACATGGGTCAAGTTTTCGATATCCAACTCAACCCGACTTTAGCATAACTGGATCCGATCTGACCCGACCTGTTGTTTTTTGCTGGAAAATCTATTTTTAATACGGAGTGAAACATAACATAGCATTTCTGTAGTCGTTCACGTACTTTTTGCTTTCTCGACTATAGTCATCGAAATCATGCAATTTCTATCGCGATGAATCTCAAGAACGAAAAGCCATCTTTCTCAGAAACGATTGAATTTCATCGAAAACGAAGTTGAGATTCATAAATAGAAAAAAAAAATAGGGGAATTTTTCAATGAAAGGGTGTGAGTGAGGGTGTGGGGGTGTGGGTGTGGGTGTGGGTGTGGGGTGTGGGTGTGGGGTATGGATGTGGGTGTGGAGTGTGGGTGTGGGTGTGGGTACGGGTGTGGCTGTGTGGGTATGGGTGTGGGTATGGGTGTGGCTGTGTGGGTGTGGGTGTGTGCTCTCTAAAAAAAGGAGTTTTGCAGAACCCTCCGAAAAGGTTCTGTAGATTTGTAAAAGCATCCAAATGTGTCCAAAGTCTTATAAAAAGGATAAAAAATTCGACAGAACCTTTTTGGAGGTTCTGCGAAATACCTACTAGCAGAACCATCTCTTACGAAGCCTTTCTTTAAGTTTTGTACAGCAAAAAAAGGTTTTCGTGAGAAAATACGAAACCTTGAGGGTTCAGTACAAAACCATTGACCTTTGCACGAAACCCTAATGGTTTTGTTCTGAACCCGCAAGGTCTCGTATTTTCGCACGAAAACCTTCTTTTTCTGTACAGAACTTAAAAAAAGGTTTTGTAAGAGACGGTTCCGCTAGTGGGTACTCGGGAGAACCTCCAAAAGGTTCTGTCCAATTTTTTATCTTTTTTTTTGAGACTTTGGACACATTTGGATGCTTTTACAAATCTACAGAACCTTTTCGCAGGGTTCTGCAAAACCCTGTTTATTTAGAAAGCACACACCCACACCCTAAACACAAGTTACAGATACGTTTAGTTCATATGAAAACAACTTTTTTTAAATTCTGTAATAAAATTATCCTCAGCGTGTAAAACAAAGTCTATTATTCAGATTATTTAATTGAATTCGATAGTTCCTGGATAAATGTAATTTATTTATATTGTCACAATATATATGAATAATAATAGTAGGTTGATTGGCTGATTTTCAATCAAATATATTTTCGACCATATATTGCTTTCGTACTGAAAGCATGTCAAACATTTAATGATGTATAAAAACTAAATTTTAATTGAATGTATGATTTTTCTTTATCGACTTCATCTTTGTGATGCTTTTTATCTTTATATCAGATATATCAAGACACACTGATTGATGAAAGTTTTGAGAAAAGCTTTTCATTAAATATTTCGTCAAATAAGTACAGTTTGATGTTGAGTAATTGTTTTAGACGTAATGTGTTGTTGTGTCTTTTACATGTTTCGTAGTTGTAATGCCAAAGCTCAATGAATGACACTCATCTCTAAACAGGTTAAAAGTTTAACTTGTTATAAAGAATTATAATTGATTTTCTATCCATGTAATAACTGTTACATGTTGGTCTAGACTTTTTCAAGTACAAGGAACGATCAAATTTTAAAGAAAAAAAATGCATGTTTCGATTCAACTTTTAGAATATCTTAATCTTCTGAATGATTGTCCGATTTCATTTAGTTCTCATTCTTTATCCAAACTGTAAGCTTTTTCTAGCAAAATATTTTTAATTTCCCCGTACATTCTATACCCAACTTGAACTTCACATCAACTGCAACTGCATAGGCATCACCAGTGATGATATTGTGTTTAGTTGAATGATTCATTGGAAAACATTAGATTATGCTTATTCTTACAACATAGTTCTTCAAAATTATGACAAAGCTATATTTATAAAAGTATTATTGTAGAATGCTATCAAATTGCGACATGTTTTGGGATTCAAATGAAATACTTGAACATCTTGAGCACGAGCGTCATTCAGTATAGAATATTCTTCAGATTTGTATACATTCGAAAAACTCCTGTGTGAAAAAGAAAAACTATTATGTTTAAGCGTTCTCTTGGTGCAGTATTTTTATCTCAAAACTACTCGAGAAGTCATAAAGATTTTACTTTTGAACACAGCTCTAACTAAAGTTTTCTAAATGAACCTGACTTTAGCTACCTTCATGAAAAACAGTTATACGCTCAGGATAAATTTTAAGATCTGCACATGAAACCAAACATTGATTCAAGAGAAGGGGAGGGTCTTCGATCTTTTCTATGCAAAGACTCTCAAGTACATTCTTCCATACCAGCGAATATTATAAGGGGAGCTTACAGTGTCGTCCTCTGCATAAGCAACAACGGTTCCCTCGACATCAACGAGATGAAAAAATTATATTCACCAGTCATCGCCGTAGGTTCTTGATATCGTAAGCAGCACTATTACTCTTCATGCCGATTCTTACTACTGCATAAGCTAGTATCTGATACTGCGAAAGATGAAAAGTTTTTTCTACACGTGTGTAATCATGAAGCCAAAGATAGGACTGATAAGCTCTTGAAAACTTACAGCGATAGTCGCTCTACAGGCACTTCCGGTTATTCTAAGTTAAATACATCTGCACAATAGTAGAAAGCGGTCATTTTCACATATTCCCGTTATCATAATCAGCATTAAAAGTCTTCATCGGGATCCTTAAGACTGCATCACTGAGTCCAGTATACAAGGGCAGATGAAAAGTTTTTTTCATATATAAGTGTGATGATAAAGTCAGTTATAGCACCGGTAGGGAAATGAAAACCTACAGTGATGACTGGTAGGTGGATGCTACTGGTTATAGTTAGCCGTAGCGTGGCTGAATAGGAATAGAAACCGGCTATCACCGTGGGTTTTCACTGTTCCAACCGCCATTTTTAGCAATAAGGATATCGGTTGAAGCCGTATTTCTAAGTTGCAAGCATAAGCAGCTTTCATATTTGGATACTTTAGCAGTTGGGAATGTTAGTTTTATGAAAAAACCCATGTTGGTTAGCTGGTGGCTGATCATCACTGTTGCATCCATAATCATGAAGCGATCACCGATTGAAAACTGGTTATGAAGTTTGAGAAATACGATCGTATATTACTGTAGCCAGATTGATAGCGACTGAAGATGCACTTTTCAATTATTGGAGGAGCGGCTTCATGTTTAATAAGACTCACGAGGGAACATTCCCAAGTGTCACATCGCTTTTAAGTCGAGCATACGCGCACTATGTAGATCCTAACGATCTATGAATTATCTGAAAAAAGTTCGTGCCGCTAGCCTCTTGCTGCTGAGATACTGCATTTTTACTGTATGATTAAGAGAAAAGAGCTGTGGGCCCCCTCAGGGACACTTGAAAAACTGAATTTCGAATTTCGACTTCAAACTTTGCATAGATATAAGTCGCAATGAAAATAGTTTATTGTGAAAGTTTCAGCTCTTTTCATTGTTTCTATCCTAAAATACAGTTATCTTAAAATTACTTCTATGCACCGACAGATCCGATGTTCTTATCTCAGATTAGGAGCAACCAAAAGATCTAAAATCTTCACAATAAACTATTCTCACTGAGGCCTATTTGTATGCAAAGTTTCAGGCGGAAACTCAAAACTCACTTTTCCTGACATTCCTGAGGGGATCACGGCTTTTTCCAAAATATATAGTAAAAATGTTGTATCTCAGCAGCAAGAGGCTAGCGGCACGAACTCTTTTCAGAGAATTCATAGCTCATTAGGGCCTACATAATGCCCATACTCTCGACTCAAAAGTGATGTGACACTTGGGAATGTTCCCTCGTCAGTTGAACCTGAATAGCTTTATCTGTAGTACATTGTGACCGGTGCTGACGGTGCTCGTATACCGGTGGAACGGTGCACCGGTCCTACGGTGAACCGGCGGACCGGTGAGACCGGTGAACGGTGAACCGTAGACCGATCACACCGGTGACCACCGTCACCGTTGCATCCCTAATTGAAATCAATAAAGTAGTAGACTTATCCATCTTTGTAATGTAAAAATTTCAATAAATAAAAACTATCTCGGTTCATCGATTTCTTTGTTT